GAATGAAGGTTCTAGACTGGTCTCCCCAAAGTCCTGACTGGAACCATCCAGAACCTGTGGACTGATGAAGGAACAAGTCTGAGTCACAAAGACGACAAGTTTAGTTGAACTGCAGCGGTTCTGTCCAGAGGAGTCAGAGATGGACCAGAAGCTGGTGGACGGAGACCAGAAGAACATTTAAGCAGATATTAGCATTTCTGTTTGTAGATTTATGACCCAACAGGTTCTCTCATATTTCTATGAAAGAGCCAAAATGCCAAATTCTAGGAGTCAGTGGAGATCAAAGAGCACCGTGACATCTGTGGTCTTTACAAGTGGATGTAAACTTTTGTTCACAGCTGTACTTACTAGGAAGTACAAGTAAATGTACTCGATTACTTTCCTGTGAGTCTCAAGCCTTCGCTGAATCCAACAACAAGACAATGAGCCCAAACACACCAAACATCAGCATTTCTGTGTGTATCAAAACTATACATACAGTAACAGTAAACGGTCTGAACTCATACGTTCTACCTCAGTGGTCCTCAAAGTGTTTCTCATTCACCCATTACCACACCAATGGAAACACAGCTGCCTGCCACCGGGAGCAGCTTCAGGTTCAGCGTCTTGCTCGAGGACACGTCGGCATGTGGGGCATCGATCTGCCAACCTTTTGATTAGAGGACAACCTGCTCCACCACCTGAGCCACAGCCGCCCGACGAGTGATAGTTTATCATGTTTCAGACGATTCAGAGTCACAGGAGTCATTAGAAACTCCAGACTGATGAGATAAAAACGAGGAAAATGAGGAAAAACCAAGGAGCTGGTGGTTGACTTTCGCCGGCACAAAGTCACCCCTCCCTCTCCAGTGAACATCCAGGGAATGGACATGGAGATAGTGGACCCTTACAAGTACCTGGGTGTTCACCTGAGCAAAAACCTGGACTGGTCTGGTAGGTGACAGGAGGATGATGACAAAGCTGTCATCACACATGGACAATACCTCCCAGCCTCTGCATGGGACTGTTAAAGCCCTGGAAGGTTCCATCAGTGCCAGGCTTCTTCATCCACGCTGTTCTAAAGAGAGGTAGCGCAGGTCCTTCCTCCCCTCTGCTGTGAGACTCTACAACCAGCTGTGCTCCCAGTAGACCCACAACGTGCAATATCCCATTCTATAGCTAATATACC